AACGCAACTGATTTTGGGTGTTTTATACCCACTTCGATTACCCCGTCAGGTCTATTAACATTTCTTATAATAGTTACTATCCCGTGTAATCTTAAATAAAATTATACATTAAAGCGCTCTGTTAAACACAAGCAGTGGTTCTTTAAGTGACACATTAGAAAAGCATTGCTATAAATTCTAATTTTCTGAAAAATTCAACATCTGTTTTAGAGACTTTACATAAACCTTACACAATCGACCTGCTGACAGGTACTTACTATCTTTTTACGCCTGACAACTTTTTTGGAGATGAATTCGATGTAGAAATCGAAGGAAGCTATAATGTAAGAGAAGCCTGGACTATAGCGACAAACGTCTCTCAGCAGCTTCATTACATTGATCAGCGACAGTTTGGTAAATACGTAATACTTCAGGGAAGGTAACAGAAACTTTTATGTCTTACAAAATTAGTCAATTTATAAATTTATAGTAATTTGTGCAAACTTATTAAAAGTTGAGAACTAGGTTAAAATAACTTTTTTAGTCTGACTGCATACTTTCTAGAAAGATGAAGCTCAGTTTTTAACTCGAGTACCTTTATTCTTAGTTAAGTTCTGCGGTTTCTATTTCTCACGTGTTACGTTACGGAGACTGCGGTAGAAAAAAGAACGAAGGATATGGTGCATTTCTTGACAATGTCGTATCTGAAGTGGAATATGTCACTGGAACAACTGGATACGTTGTCAGCCCGTATGAATCGCAAGTCACGGTATAATCAAAGCTTCACTTTTTAAATAATTCATATTACTCAAAAAAGGAGGTTTTCTTTCTTGTTTTATAATCATTTCGCTACATGCTGCTTACTTCAAGATAGAACATTCAAGATTATTGGTGATGAGCTGACTCGACGTACCTCGATTGATAATGGAGAGGCAGTTTCCCCACTTTCTTTTTCTCCTTGCATTCGTGGTAAAAACTACTTATTCTGTTATTCTAAACCTGCGGGTGAATCAAATATTTTCTCGTGGTTTTCGGCTAAAGGTCGGTACACTCTTTACGTATGTACATCTGCAGCTGAATTTTCATACGGTTACACACCTCGTGTCTCAGGTACATTCAAGATGACTATGATTCAAACTTTCTTTGACTTTTTTACTTACTATAAAATTCTATTCATATTTTAGCGAAAAAAATCTACTCTTTTGAAGTGAGGAAAATATTGTTTAGTTACTGCTTGGATTGTGAGTAGCTCAATTATTTATAGTACTATCCGTAATACATATTTCGCTCATATTTTATTAATAATGGCAAAACATTAAAGACAGTACTTTTATTACAGTTCCCTACACTTTCTAAGATAAAGAGTCATTTGAAATTCACAATAATTACGAGATTTTTATAGTTCCTTTTGGATTACCAACAACTGTAACCGAACAACAACAACAACAACAACAACAACAACAACAACAACAATAACAAAATCGACAACGACAGCAACAACAGCAACATCAGCAGTAACGGCTGGGTCAGCATCACCGTCATTAAGTTCTCCACAAACAAATGGAGGAATAAGTTTGACACAAATTACCCAGTTGTTTAAAACACAAAAACCTTACGCTACCTGCTTTGTTTTACTACTCATGTATATTGGATACATGCTTGTGATTTAATTTAATGCGGTTTTACTGAAACTAAACCTGACCAACTGCATTTTTTTTCGTCTTATTTTTTAGCATAAGACAAAGAAAACCATAGTTTTGAATTTTGTAACTAGTGAAAAATGGTAGAGCTCAAATTTTGCTAAATGCATCTTTTTTTACAAATTTTTTTTTTAAATTATTAAAAGAACCAAAAAAAAATTATGATTAATGTTTTAACATTAAAAACTGTTAACTATTATCATAATTTCGCTACATCTGAAAACTTCTCAGAGCTGAAGAGAGCTTGAAGTAGAATGAAAAAAATACATGTAAAGACAAATGTTCTTCTTCTACTTAAAAATAAAATTTTAGTGCTTTAAAGCTAGAACCGCTTTTTAAACTCTTCGTGAAAGACTTTTAATTGCTATTTTTGGTTTTCTATTCAGGCTAAATTTCTAAAAACTGTCTCAGGTCATTTTTTCTACTTTCAAATACCAGTTTGTGCGCTCATTTTATCCTACAATTTTAAAGCAGATTATTAGAGTTTGTTCTCTCCGTCAACTGTAACTTTGCAATAATCACTGCACTTTTTTTATTATTGCCTGATTTTTGCGACCAGAGTGAGTTCTCCAAGCTTACATGATTTTTACCCAGTCACTGAAGTCATTTTTTTAGTTGCCTCACTTAAGGTCAACCAAAATATCACTTTTTTTTCGACATCTCACTTGTTCTACAATCGACTACTTTTTTTGCTCCAGACAGATCGGGCCGTCTTGATTCAATAAAGTTTGCAAAATCTTATACGTCGTTTCAACGCTGATTTTATAAATCCTTTCTAGAAAGTTAGACAATTGTATAAAATGTTCTTGAAAATGTAGCCAAAATTTATTAGCCTTATAGCTCATTTACGCCGCTTCAAAAGTTAAATCAATTTATTTTACTTCTTTCAAAGTTTATTTAATTTGTGGTTTATTTACACCTAAAATAACCTTTACGCAATTTTACAACTTACTACTGCTTCACAAAAGATAATTAATACTTTGTTTCCCGTAAATGAAAAAAGACTGAGTACAAATCTTTCACACACGAATCAATCAACGACAATACAGGTAAGTAAACAGAAATAAATTTTAGTATCTAAATGATTAACCTGAGGACATTTGGCAGTTCTGTTAAATGATCATGTATTCAAAAAACACTATGCTTTTATAATGTCTTAAAAACTGCGCCTCGATTCCTAGGAGATTCAAAAACAACAAGGAAAATAACAAAAGTAGAGAAATGAGAACAAAAACTGCAGCTAAGGCAGTGACAAAGCAATTTTATAACGTATTTCGTGATATTGGATTTCTAAACAGTCGCATTAATCATTTTTTAGTTAAATTTTGATTATAGAAATAAGATAGACTAATGTCACTGAGAACATAATGGGAACTTTCGTTGAAAGTTTGCCTGCGACGATCAGATATCCACAGGTGCTACCGCTGTTGCAGTTGTACTCGGCAACTGAAGCTAACTACAAAATTTACTAAAACTTTTGCCAGTCTATAAAACTGCAGAAAGACAGCAAAAAAATGTTGAAGAATTAATTGAAAACGTATTCAGCTTTTTTAATATATCTTGAAATTAGTTCACTTAAAGTTGTCAAGTTCTCCTTCGAGGCTGTAATGTCTCATTACAAATGAGAGAAGTCACTGAATAACGAAAAAAAAAAAAGAAAAACAAAAAGACTTTCAATAATTGCATTATTCCAATCAACCAGCATGTTGACCAAGACGCACATAAAGCAACAAAGTTAAAACAACAAGGGAAACCGAGATAAGTAGAAATAAAAAACCAAAGAGAAGAAAAAATTGTCTAAATTAAAATAAAACCTTAGACAGTTCTATAGCACACAGTTTTTCCCTGTCTGAAGCAGAAATCTATCCGAATTAAGAAAACATAGATACGCAGTAAACTACCTAGTTTCCCTATAAGTGTTTATTTCTGGAATGGTAAAGAGGCTGTTTAAGATGTACGTCTCCAACTTTTATCTAAAAGTAATTGTTTTTCTTTTTTTTGATTAGTAAAATGTTGATCTTCAAAAATTTTCAAAGCTTTTACGCATAGCTGTCGAGCAACTTCTCAAAGAAAGAATCGCCAGGTTGTATTCTTACACTTCCTAACAACTTCTTCTTGAGATACGCTTTTCCTGCTATGGAAGTGATTAGCCTTTACGTTTCACAGTATCGACCACTGACTCTTACAGCTCTGTTTTTTCAAAATTCCTGAAGACCTTTGACTTTCTAGTTATCAATCCTTCTGTTGATATCCTCTATTCATAGCAAAACGTTTCTTCATTTGTGATGACGAGGTTTTATTTTTTGGTAAAGAAGTGCAGCTAATTTGATGGTACAGCTTGACGCATGACCTGCAAGGCAACCATCTTATTACTAAGCACGTTTTACACTTATTTATCGACTGTAAAATGAAAAATAATCAAACAGTAACTGTATATTTAATTTTTGCTAGATGTAATACAGGTCAAAAAACTAGTCGAATCAGAAAAAACTGAAAGCGTAATAGAGTAATGCTTGCAAAAAATTAATGGTAAAGTGAAAAAAGGTGAAGTTCTGCGGTCAGTTCTTCTAGAATATCCTAACAATGCAGTAGCGTTTTATAAAAGCAGATTCTACAAGTTTTACTGGGTTTTACAAGTTTTTACGACAGTTTTAAACACCCTGTATAATTTATAGTTTTTTTGTTACTCAGTACATGAGCTGTTTTATGAAATACTTCAAACGGGTTATCCATGCATTTGAGCAATTGCAATTGACCCACACGATTCTGCTGGGAAAATATATTAAGCTTGAGCACTCAAAATGACAATTTGATTGAATATAATGCATAAGTTAATAAAAAAATTTACTGCCAGAAGGTTCTTGACAGAGTGCATTTTAAAATTATCGGACCAGGTGTCACTGATGTGTTTACGTACAAACCATTTAGTTTTTATCAACTAAACGCAAAAAAGTGATTAAGGATGTAATACTACGTGTCAGCAATTGAGTTTTGTTACTACGTTTGTTTCCTTTACTTAGTCTTACTGATGAAATTTTAAAAAAAAATCTCAAAATTATCAGGCGGCTGCTTCTATATGTTTATACCTGCTCTATTGTGGTTTGTAGAATCTAAATTCTCT